CCTTCCTTCCTTCCTTCCTTCCTTCCTTCCTTCCTTCCTTCCTTCCTCCCTCCCTCCCTCCCTCCCTCCCTCCCTCCCTCTTTCTCCCTCTTTCTAATTCTTCCTTCCAGTCAATTCTCCCTCCCTCCATCTCTCCCCCCTTCATTCCTTCCCAACATAACTGAGGAGATTATATTGGCCAGTTAGAGAAAGAGTGAGGATCGAATTGCAAAACAACATTATGACAGGAAAGTGAATGGGTTGAGAGGAAGAGGAAGGCTGGGGGAAAAAAATCAGGAAAGGGAAGTGTCAATAAAATAATATGAAAAGTATATTGGGGAGAAATTTAACAGCCAAAGAGAAAGTATGAAGCCATATGTGGACATGGGTAAAAAAGGATGGGTTTACAAGGATAGAAAGCTACAGGGAATTTATTTTGCATTTAATTATCAAATTTAGAGACTGCCCATCTTGCTAGCAGCGTGGCTTTGTATACTACATAGTAAGGTAAAGGTAAAAGTTTCACCTGACTAGTCATGTCCGACTCTAGGGACAGTAGTACTTATCTCCATTTCTTGACTGAGGGAGCCAGAATTGTCCAAAGACATTTTCATGGTCATATGCCAAAGGCTCATGGAATTCAGTTGCCTTCCCACTGAAGTGGTACCTATTTATCTACTTGCATTTGCATGCTTTCGAACTGCTAGGTGGGCAGGAGCTGGAGTAAGTAACAGGAGCAAGTAACAGACCCCTTCACGTGGTGCTCAGATCTCGAACCTGACCTGTCACTGTCCTTAACCACTAAGCCACCATGCCCCACATATAGTATGATATAGTAAACAGAGTGGATGTCAAATACTTTTATCTATACAGTATTTCTTTCCCTTTCCCTTATCTCATGCCTTTAATTTCTTTGGCTATACAATATTGTTTATTTGGAAAAGGTACATGGATAGTATGTATGTACGTATGCATGTATGTATGCATGCATGCACATGGGTAGTATGTATGTATGTATTAATCCTGGCCAAGTGAAGGTACTTTTAATAGGGCTAAACTGATACAAGTGCTGAATTCCTGGAAAATTTCAGAACAAATTACAATAAATTGGACGCTGATTTTAAAACAAACAACACAAATCTGTTATTTTATGCAACTTCTTAGAGTTTTGGACAACTCATTCCACAGATGTCAGATATAGGGAAAAAAAAGAGCCCCTTGACAGTTGTATTATAATTAAACTTTTACAGCCTCTTTGTTCCTGCCCCTGAAGCTTTTTGCACTAATCATTCAGTTCAGTTTAAGTGCATCCAAATTGGAAAAACTATTCTTTGTGTAACCTTGGTTGCATTTTTTTTCTCTTTGTCTTGGAAAAAAAAGGTTGTTGATTTCTCAAGGCAATGTTTTGTTCTTTGTAAAGAACAGCATGCTTATATATCAACAATATTTGAATCAATATTTGAAGCTTCAGGGGCAGGAACAAAGAGGCTGTAAAAGTTTAATTATAATACAACTGTCAAGGGGCTCTTTTTTTGAATTTATTTTGTTATAATTATATATTAACAATTACAATAATAATACATTTACCCTGATGTTGAGGTGGCCAATCTTGTTTTATCTATCTTTCTGTCTATCATCTCTCTTTCTCTCTTTCTGCCTACCTACCTACCTGTGATCTATCACTTATCCTCTATCTATCTGTGTGTCTATGTGTCTGTCTACCTATCTATTTATGTATGTATGTATGTATGTATGTATGTATGTATCTATCTATCTATCTATCTATCTATCTATCTATCTATCTATCTAT